TTTACTAAGCTTATTCTAAGTAGGTGCTTTAGACCACTGAGCCATCTCACCAGCCCATGGAGAGTGTTTAGAACCAGTGCTTAGATAGCATTTGTCTTGCTTCTGTTTTGTTTTGTTTATGCAGGGCTGGGATGGACCCCAGTGCCTCACACATATAGGCAACTGCCATATTACTAAGCTACACCCTGAACCCCAGAAACTTTTTCTTATATAGCCTGGGCATACGTGCTCCTCACTTTCACCTTAGAAGACAAAAGCTGTGCATCTTGCCCTTTTCACAGTAAGGGCCTGAGATAGAAAAGAGAAAGGCCCTTTCCCATCCCCATGGCTGGAAGTATAAAGCTGAGATTCAACCCCAGTGGTTGGTCTGATCTAGGAGACTTCAAGTGGCAAGTCAGATGTCAGCTGCACTCTGTCCACATACATCAAAGGTCCTCAGGAAAGCAGAAGTGTGTCTTCTTCCTCCTGCAGATCTCACTTCCTGATGTGAGAGGGAAGGGGCAGAAGGGTTCCTTCAGGAGAGCCACGGCTGTCCCAGGAAAAAGAGAAGTGGGAGTAGGCATGAGCCCTCTCTCTGCACCCATCTCCCCTTTGTCCTGGCGAAGAGGTTCCTCTTCCCATCTGTCACTGTGGGTCAGAGAGCAGGCATGGAGATGGCCTCATCCCCTCCCACTACCCACCATCTGCCCACCTCCCTGGGTCATGTGATGGCATCTTCATCTTCCATGGGGGCTGTGGGACTTTGGGCAGGCCCTGTAATATCTCTAGGTCTTGGCTTCGTCCTCATCTGTAAAATGGGAATGAAAAAGGAAATAGAGCCCATAAGATACAGTGAACGGTCTGTGAGTTCATCCCAGAATGTGTTTGGCAGACAGTTTGGCACACACTTGGGGCTCGAGAAGTGTGAGGTATTGCCTCTTGTGGTGGCACACACCTGTAATCCCAGCATTCAGGAGGCAGAGGCAGGAAGATCGCCAATATTTTGAGGCTGGCCGGAGACACATAGTGAGTTCAAGACCAGTCTGAATTGCATAACAAGACTCTATGTCCAAAAAACAAAGCTATTTTTTTATTATTTTATTTATTTATTTATGTGTGTGTGTGTGTGTGTGTGTGTGTGTGTGTGTGTGGCCAGCTCAGCCCACCAGGGGGCGGGGCTGGCTGGCATGTGGTGCTGGGGGATTGAACTGGTGGTCCCTGTGCTTTGCTAAGCTTGTTCTAAGTAGGTGCTTTAGACCACTGAGTCATCTCACCAGCCCAAAACAAAGCTATTAAGACTGTGAGGTACCAACCTATTTACAAGCATTGTGTCATTAAGCTTTACACCTTGACAGATAGGACTCTGAGGACTATTTTCCAGTGCCAAAATTGAGACTCAGAGAATTTAAGAATCTCTCTCTCTCTCTCTCTCTCTCTCTCTCTCTCTCTCTCTCTGTCTCTCTCTCTGTCTCTCTCTTTCTCTCTCTCTCTTTTTTTCTCTCTCTCTCTCAGTACTACTAGTGATCAGAGATCAAAAGGGCTACTCCAGCCCTTTTGTTTTTCTTTTTTTTGAGGCCCTGGCCTGGCATGACTCAAACTTCATATCCTCCTGCCTCAGCCTCTTTTAAGTGCTGGCGTTACAGCCCAGGCTGGCTAAGAAACAGCTTTTATCACACATCAAGTACCGTGCAAGCCAGCACACCGTGTAGCAGTGTGGCTGGAACTCCAAGGTCAAGGCGCAGTCCTGGGCAGTGGTGCCCCTGAGATGTGTGGCTGTAGGTTGTACAGTTGTGATTCTATACGGCACAGCTCTGGTCCCCTCCATCCTGATTGTCGCATCCTGGGAAGCAGTTGGGTGTGTGAGCCGGTGCCTCTGAGCACATATGCTGCCAGGCAGCTAGCTACACACACAGAGAGACACACCACAGACACACACAGACAGTGACACACACTCCCTGTGTGCATACACCCTTCTAAACAAGCCCTGAAGAGTAGGGAGCCACTATCATTGCTCCATTTTAAAGACGAGGAAACTGAGGCACAACCTTGGGGAATGGGAGACCTGACACCCACATTCTTTTGTCCTAAACTGCCTGCCTCTCTGGACAGGTGAGAGGTACTAGTGTTGTTACTGAGGTTCTTACTGTAAGTAGAGCAGAGGCTTTGAAGACAGAATGGGGTTCACTTTCCGCTTAATCGATGACAAACTGACTGCTATGGATTCCCTCTGTCTTGGCCTCGGTGTAAGGGACATAAGTGTAGCATGTAGCACAGTACAACAGGGGTGATGTGAGATCAAATGAATTCAGGTTGAGGGGCAATTCAGCAGTAGAGCGTACATTTTGCAACCCCTCAAGGCCCCCCCCCAAAAGAACTCAGATTTCTGAAGGATTCAGAATGATGTCAGTAAAGTCATGTCTGGGGGGCTGTTTGTTTGTTTGTTTGTTTTTGTAGTATTGGAAATTAAAACCAATGCCTTCACACTGAACTACATACCAAGCCCTTTTTTTATTTTTTATTTTGAGACAAGGTCTTGCTACGTTGCTAAAATGCTCAGCCTCTGGTCCCACTTGGCAACCCTCCTGCCTCAGTCTTCCAGAGTGCTGGGATTACAGGTGTACACCTCCTTAGCTGGCTTCTAGCACATATATTTAATCTTTAGAAAACCCTGTAAGACATGTGAGCATCTTATGCTCCATTTTCCAGATGGGGAAACTGAGGCTCATAGACAGGGAAAAAGTCATTCGGGTACAGTGGTATACACCTGTAATCCTAGCACTTTGGGAGGCTGAGGTGGAGGATTGTCCATTCCAGCCCAACCTAGACAATTTAGCAGTTTAGGCAGACCCCATCAAAATAAATTTTGTTTTTTAAAGGCTGGGGATGAATCTCAGTATGGAAGTCCTGGGTTTAGTCCCAGGACAGAGGAAGAAAGAGAGAGACAGAGAGAGGGAGGGAGGGAAGAGAGGACGGAGGGAGGGACAGTAGAGAGAGAGATGATGCTAGAGGTGGCTTTTGACTGTGCCACATCACGTGGCTGTATGATTTCCTTGCTTTGCAAATCCAGACATCCATGTTGTCCTAACATGCAGCTTCAACACACACACACACACACACACACACACACACACACACAGAGCTAGGGCACTGAGAGGGGGGCTGCTGCATGTGACTGCAGGGTCATCCAGTCCTCATACCCTTTCCTCTCCTCAGGCTGTGCTGTCGGACGATGGGGTGGGCAGCTGGTTGGGAGAGCCAGAACCCCCAGAGGAGCCCCTCACCCTGCAAGCATCTGTGCCCCCTCACCAGCTTCGGCTGGGCAGCCTCCATCCTCACACTCGCTATCACATCCGGGTGTCATGTGCCAGCAGCCAGGGCCCCTCACCTTGGACACACTGGCTTCCCGTGGAAACACCAGAAGGAGGTAAGGGGACTGGTGTGGGCTGTCACCACCACCCCGCTGGACCTGGCTTGCAGCTTGCATCAGTGCCCTCTGCATCTTCACCCCTCTTTACCCCATGTGGCCTTGCCTCCCCTCAGTTCTTTTCTATTTTTTTTT